AGCACAAATAAAAATGATTGAAAGTTCGAAGACCATTCCACTTTTAAACCAGAGAGTAAACTAGAGAGTGTATATTTCTCCTGCAGGTAGAAGTTTATATCATAGGTCTTTAGTTGCAGAACTGTGTCCTTTAAGAACAATGTCAAAATTCAATGCATGCTTCATGTTGCATTAATACTTACACTGGGCTTTCCAAGCTATTTAAGGAATTCTGCCAGGAAATTTGTCCAGCAGGCGGAGGAGGAGGAGGCTGAGAAGGAGGTGGTGAATGATCCGAACTTAACTCAGAAATATCTGCAAGGAAAGAGAATTAAATCAACTTTGTGAAATATTAAAATAAAATGCTGGTGTGATGCCTGACACAGTGAAAATAATATATACAAAACAGAATGTTAGTATTGTAGCACTCATCAACTGAATAATTTAAATTACACATTTTTCAAGTTTAATTTGAATAGCCTTAAACATAAATGGCTATGTTTATTTATAATTTGGTGTTTCTTTACAAGTGTGCTTCTGAGGTCAGAACCTGAGGTCTTTTAATTTATTCCAAATCATGGCATACATAATGGCGAGATTGCAGTCAAATCCTGTATGCACCAAACAGTGATTACTTCTCAGGCTGCCTGATGACTAAGCACCATTTGGTGTGGAACACATCCAGGATCTGACTACGATCTCGACAATATGTATGCCATGATTTGGAATAAGTAAAAACATTTCAGATTTAGCAAGATAATCCAGACACCTGTCTTTATTTGCAACTGTACATAAACTTTTTCCATTTGCATGAACAAATATCATTAAAATGGTCATCTGATCTACCTTCTTCCTCAGGTCAAAGCAGTTCTACAGTACTATAATCAAAGTAAAAAACATAATAAATAGCAGTAAACAAAAACTGTAGGGGGGAAAAAAAGTTAACCAGTTTTGGAATTCAGGCATTCCACACCCTGAAAAACTTCAGCTAAATACTTTAAGACATGTGTAGTACACACTGCTCCCTCTCCCCCAGCTCTTAACGTATTTATGGGCAAATCTCAATTGTCATCTTGCACTTTTTTTGTTTCACACAAGCAGCTCTTGGTTCCCTGTATAAACGGTCACAGAACGCAAAACATTGTGTGCATTGTCAATAAGAATTACAACATTGCAATATTATTATTGCTAGATTGTAGTTACTCGATTCATTCATAGCAGACCAAATGGAGTGCACAATTTCTATCGCCCGACGCCCAGGACATGAAGTTCCATGCACTGGACAGGTGGGGGGTTTTTTCTACATTTAGCCCTGCTGCGGGCAAGCAGGGCTAAATGTAGAGCAGGGGAGCCGCTGCTCGTTTTATACAAGTGATCTGGGCGGTTGTACAGTTGACTTTTCCAAGTAATTTAAGAAAATGGAATTACCCACTCAAAACAGCCCTGACGTGTCAAGGTGTGGACTCCACTAGACCTTTGAAGGTATGCTGTGGTATTGGGCACCAAGCTATCAGTAGCAGAAGTCCTGTAAGTTGCGAGGTGGTGCCTCCATGGATCAGACTTGTTTTTCCAGGACATTCCACAAATTCTCAATTGGATTGAGATCTGGGGTCCAAATCAACACATCAAACTCATTGTTGTGCTCCTCAAACCATTCTTGAACCATTTTTGCAGTGTGGCAAAGCTCATTATCCTATTGAAAGAGACCACTACCATCAGGGGATACCGCTTCCATGAAGGGGTGTACTTGGTCAGCAATAATATTTAGGTAGGTGGTACCTGTCAAAGTAACATCCAAATGAATTGCAGGACCCAAGGTGTCCCAGCAAAACATAGTCCAAAGCATAACACTGCCTCCACCGGCTCTCCACCTTCCCATAGTGCATCCTGGTGCAATTTCTTCCCCAGATAAATGTCACACATGCACCCGACATCCACACGATGTAAAAGAAAACATGAGTTGATTACCTGATAACTCTGTTTCCAGGAATCTTCCAGGACAGTCAATGAGATAAGGCTGCGCCTGCCTGCAACAGGAAACACATCAACCACATTTAAATAAATAGACCCCTCCTTCCATCCCAATTCAGTACCCTCTAGGACCGAAGGCTACCAAACATTTCAAAGTATCCCCTCTATCATCCAATCACGGATGTCCCCTGGATACCAACCAAGGGCGGGAATCTGCTGTCCTGGAAGATTCCTGGAAACAGAGTTATCAGGTAATCAACTCATGTTTTCCCCAGTCATCTTCCAGGACAGCCAATGAGAGGATCAGTGAGGACAAATCTTACCTCCTTGGGTGGGACCACAGCTTGCAGGACCTTCCTGCCAAATGCCTGGTCTTGTTGGGTCATAAGGTCCAGTCTGTAATGCCTGACGAAGGTCTGGAAACTGGACCAAGTGGCTGCTCTGCAGATCTGGTCTGGAGTAGCCCCTGCTCGCTCTGCCCATGAAGTGGCCCATGCTCTAGTCGAGTGTGCCTTGAGCGGCCCTGGTAACGTCAAGCCCTGTGCTTTGCAATTCTCAGTTATGGCCATTTTAATCCACCTAGCAATTGTGCTTTTAGTGGCCCTGTTCCCTCTAGTGGGACCCCCAAATACTACGAAGAGACGAGTCGACTGTCTCAACGGTTTCGTGACCCTAAGGTACTCTAGGACGCACCTGCGTACGTCAATTCCCCGCCATTCCTTTTCTCCAGCAGAGGTAGGGTTAGTTGCAAACGAAGGGATGACCACTTCCTGAGTCCTGTGGAAGGTGGACACCACATTCGGCAAAAAAGCCGGGTCTGGCCGTAGAACAATTTTATCTGCCATGATGGTGCAGTACGGATCAGCCATGGAGAAGGCTTGAATCTCGCTCACTCTCCGAGCAGAAACTAATGCTACCAAGAGGGCTGTCTTCACCGTCAGGTTCTGGATTGAGCACTCCCCCAGGGGTTCGAAAGGCTGTTTGAGAAACCCTTGCAATACCACCGAGAGATCCCAATTTGGCACCACCTTACTCTTTGGGGGTTTCATTCTGACTACAGCTCGCAGAAACCTCTTGATGAGAGGTTCCTCTGCCAGTCTAATATCCACAAAATTAGACAGAGCCGTCACTTGCACTTTCAGTGTACTACAGGAAAGTCCTTTCTGCAGACCGCCCTGCAGAAAATCTAACACCAACGGCACCGTGTCGGCTGTCGGTCTACCTTGGCTGTTGTACCAGCTTGAAAAGACTCTCCACACTTTCAGGTAAATTGCAGCTGTGACCGGTTTTCTACTGTGCAACAATGTGGAAACGACCTTTGCGGATAACCCCTTATTCATCAGCACCTCCCTCTCAGAAGCCACACAGCTAAATTTAAAGCCTGTACTTGCGGGTGCTTCACCGTGCCCAGCAAGTCTGCCGTCGGCGGAAGAAGCAGCGGCCCCTCCACACAAAGCTCCAGGAGTGTTGTGAACCACGGCCTCTTTTGCCAATATGGCGCTATTAAAATTAACGTCATGCTTTCTCCTCTGAGTTTCCGAAGTACATTCGGAATCAACTGTAGTGGAGGAAATGCGTAACCTAAATGGAACCTCCAAGGGTGCGCCAAAGCGTCTACCCCCAGAGCCCAGTCGTTCCTGGAGAGGGAAAAAAATTGTTCCACCTGCCTGTTGTTGGCGGCTGCGAAGAGGTCCACCTCCTGCAGCCCCACAAGCTGGTGATCCAGGCAAACGTTCTCGCGTTCAGAGCCCATTCGGATCTGTATAGCTCCGTTCGGCTGAGTGAGTCTGCCAGCTCGTTCAGGCTGCCTTTAATATGTGTTGCCGTCAGGGATAGGAGGTTTTGTTCTGCCCATGACAGAATTTCCGTCGCCAATGCCATTAGCCCATGCGAGCGCGTGCCCCCCTGCTTGTTTATATAAGCTACCGCCGCGGCATTGTCCGAGGCCACCGCTACATGGTGGCCTGCTAAGACATCTCGAAACTGGCAGAGAGCTAGCCCTATCGCCTTTAGCTCTCTCCAGTTTGACGACTTGACTCTGCCTGTGTGCTCCCAGGTATCCTGCCAAATGTGCTCCAGGCAATGGCATCCGTCATCACTATTAACGGCGCAGGCTGGCACCACAGCCTTCCCACTGAGAGGTTTCGACAGTCCATCCACCACAGGAGGGATTCCTTGGTCTCCTCCGTTATGTGGACCAGTTTGTCTAGGTCTTCTTGTCGACTTCCCCAGGCCCTCAATAGCCAATTCTGTAAGGTTCTTGAATGGAATTGCGCCCAGGTAACTGCTGGGATGGCGGACGTCATAAGCCCCACCACTCTCATCACTGACCTGACTGATACTTCGCACTGCAGCTTCAGCCTCAGCGTTTCCTCTACCAGCATAGACACTTTTTCCCCTGGTAATGTAATGGTCATTTCCTGGGTATTGATCCAATAACCCAAAAATTTTACCGTCTGTGCGGGGACCAGTTGTGACTTTTCCCTGTTCACTAACCAACCCAGACTCTCCAAGTGTTGGATCGCTAACTCCAGCTTTTGCTGGAGAACAATTTCTGATGGGGCGAAAAACAAGAGGTCGTCCAAATAAGGGATGACCCCGACCCCCTGAGATCTCAGGGGGACAAGCGTCTCTGCCAACACTTTGGTAAAGATTCGAGGCGAAAAGGAAAGGTCGAACGGCAGGGCCCTGTATTGAAAAGGAAAGGCCGAACGGCAAGGCCCTGTATTGAAAATGCAGGACCCCCGCAGGCCCCTGGACTGCAAATCTTAGTAGGTATTGTGATGACTCTCTTACTGCAATATGAAAATAAGCGTCTCTCAGATCTATAGTCGCTAGAAAGGAACCTGGGGGCAGCAGCTCTCGTATTGAAAAGATCGATTCCATGCGGAATCTTTTGTACAGTACCACCTTGTTCAGAGGCTGCAGATTGAGTATCAGTCTGCACTTTCCTGAGGGCTTCATCCTGGAAAAGATGTGGGAGTAAAATCCTCGCTTCTCCTCCAACACGGGTACCCGCACTATAATCCCCTGGTCCAGCAGATCTTGCAAAGCCGCTGTCATTGCCTCTGCTTTCTTCCGGTCCTTTGACAGGGAAGTAATCAGAAGCCTTGACGGGGGCGGTTCCGTCAGCTCTACTTTGTAACCGATCTGAACCAGTTTCAAAATGTATTTGTTGCTGGTGAGTTGCCTCCAGAGCGGGAAGAACTCCCCCAGTCTTCCTCCCGCCCTGAGCAAATCGGTCATTGGGATTTGTTGGGCTGCTGCGGGGGGTTAAAGAGGAAATTACTCTTAGACTTCCCATTTTTAAAAGCCCACCCTTTGGATTGGTCTTGTTTCTTCCC